ACAGGGCTAGAGAGGAGAAAGGGGGAGGCAGGGGTGAGCCAAGGCAGGACTTTCCCCACCCCCTCAGCCCAGTGGGTGCAGGTTGAGGGGAGTGGGAGGAGGTGGGAGGAGCTGGCGGAGGGGCTGGAGCAGGCCCCTGGCCTCCTGAGCAGAGGAGCGGGCAGTGGGAGGGCAAGGGGAGGGCGTGGGGAGGAGCGCCCAGCCTGCCTGGGCCAAGGGTGGCCCTGTCCCTGTCCCTGTGGGCTCCCCGTGTCGGTGCTGGCTGTGCTGAGCTGGGTGCTGGCTGCTGCACGCTTGGCCTTCTTTAAAAAATTTTTTTAAATTGATGTCAGAGAGGAAGGGAGCAGGAAGAGAGATAAAAACAGCCATGATGAGAGAATCATTGATCGGCTGCCTCCTGCACGCCCCCCCACTGGGGATCGAGCCCGCAACCCGGGCCTGTGCCCTGACCGGGACTCGAACCCTGACCTCCTGGTTCACAGGTCGACCCTCAACCCCTGAGCCACGCCAGCTGGGTGTGCTTGGCCTTTTTGACCGCACCAAGCTCGGCTCTCACCAGCCCTGGTGGTGGGGGGAGGAGGCCTGACCTGGGCCGCCCTGACCGGGACTCGAACCCTGACCTCCTGGTTCACTGGTCGACGCTCAGCCCCTGAGCCACGCCAGCCGGGTGTGCTTGGCCTTCTTGACCGCACCAAACTCGGCTCTCACCAGCCCTGGGTGGTGGGGGGAGGAGGCCTGACCTGGGCCTCCGTTTCCCCATCAGAGCAGTTATGCAACAAGCGTAGAGGACCCCCACACCCCCACCAGCTCAACATCCCTGGGTTGGGAAGCCTGGAGTCCTCATGCCACCTCGCTGGAAGGTGGCAGGCCCCTTCCCCTCCCCCCTCCTGCCGGCAGGAGTGAGGGCTGGAGCTCAGCACCCACCTTGTGCCATGAGGCAGCTCTGACACTGACAGGGCAGCATGGAGGGAGCCCCATCGCTGATGACCTGGAGCTGGTGTACCAGCCCGGAGGGGGAGAAACTGGGTGCAGAAGCCAGTTATCTTGGGTTTCTCTCGCCCTTGCATGCTCACACACTCGCACACACACCCCCATATGTGTGCACACACTTACGGACACTCACAGCCCCTGTTCAGGCGCAGCAGACGGGGCGGCAGGGGTCACGCTCCCTGGCTCAGATGTTAGGCCACGCCCTCCAGCGCACACTCCAGGCGACCCTCTCCCCTCCCAGGCGGCTTCCCTGCCACCTGCCAGCACATTGACGGGGAGGGAGTCCCTTAGGATCAAAAACCTCATGAGCCCTGGCCGGTGTGGCTCAGCGGATAGAGCGTCGGCCTGCGGACTGAAGGGTCCCAGGTTCGAGTTCGGCACCTTCCGCAGCTGGCCTGCAGGAGCTTGGCCCAGGAGGCTGATGCTGGAAGCTTCCGGAGCCGCGTGGCCATGGGTCAGGGCTCTGCCCGCTACTCATATGCTGTTGGAGCTTCTCATCTTCCCTCAGTGACTCGGGGACCCAGGGGCCCTCGGGCAATAAAGGAGCCTGTAGGGGCCCAGGACGGAGATGTGGCCCGGCCTCATGTCCTGGCTGTGACCCTGGGGCTCGCGCCTGTGGGGCGTCCGTTCTGTCCCTCTTCCCGGCACTGGGTCAGCCCCTGGAGCCACGGCAGGGCCCTGTGTCCCCCACCCAGCCCTGGCCCTGGGAGCCAGCTCCGGGGGACACTGTGTTCCCTTCTTATCTGGGCCCGCACGCCCTGCAGATCCTCCTTAGACACCCCTCCCATCCTCCCCAAAGACCCTGGGTCCCCTTCCTCCCCCCTCCCCCCACTCAGATCCGTTTTGCCCCGTGGGGCACCTGCCATTTTCGCTGACCCACCCCACCCAGTCTTGGCTTCGGCCAGCACAGGACGCAGGTGGCCGCAGCGCATTTCCTGTCCTTGTTCTCGACCTTGAGAAGGGGGTGAGCAGGAGGCAGGGTCACCCAAAGCGGGACCTTCCTGAGGACGGAGACTGCCATCACTGCCCCCCTCACCCCCCACCCGCGCTCCCACAGCGGGGTCTGCAGGGACAGGACAGGTCGGC